AGAGGACACTATGGGCTGAAGGACTTTGAGGATGTCCATCTCATGACATTTGGGTTATATCTGTTCTATGGAGCTTATTTTAAACTCTGCAACTTGCAACAGGTTTCACTGACTTTCTCCCAAGGCCCTAGGTACTGTCCTCTTTTCAGATCTGTTCTGGGGCCTCTGGATCTTGAATATCTTGAGAAAATATAAATATAAACATTTCAATAATGTTCTATGGTGAGCCAAGTATGAAAGATGTGTCATTCATTTGTATCAATGAATGAATGCGGACAATTAGTGCATAAATCCTGAGTACAACAATCTGGGTGTAGGGGTGGTGCCATTCAATTTCTATTTATAAAGATATTTATTTCCATTTATTTATGCTTGTGACAGATGTTCTGTTAGGGACCGCAAGAATCACAATGATGAGTCTTTTATTTTACGAAATTAATGGTCCAGTGATAATTGCATAGCTTACAAATGACTATGAAGTACCATCAAGCAAGAAGTTCCATGAGAAAATAATCTAAAAGATTTTATCACCTAATCTCAAAGGTGAGAGGGCTTTTCTCTAGGTAGGGACTAATCAGAAATACATTCATGGATAATTATTTGAATAGACCTTGAGGGTTGGGTACAGTTTTTCTTAAGCATTGATGGAGAAGGAGACTGAAGATTTGAAAACATTTTCAAACAACCAGCCACCCAATCCAGCAAACAAAAAATGAAAAGGATCTCAGAAACAGTGAGGAAAAAAAAGGAATGTTCTCACAACCCACATGTATAGCTTAACTGCTCTGAAGAAGAATATATCTAACATTTGACAATAATACCGTGCTAACAATGATGAGAATTACTGTCAGATTTTAATGTCTGTAGGTACCAGGCATTTAGAAGATATTATTCCATTTATATATCAAAATAAACTTCAGGTGAAAGATCATTTTCATGACATGTGAGAAAATTAAGAATCAGATTAGATTATTTGCCTAATGTCATATAGCTAATAGTTGACCATAGACAATTAGACTAGAATTAGATTTGAATCTTTCTGATACCAAAGTTCAGTTTACTGTTCCATGTTGCATCTGAGCAGTTTCGCAGACTTATGAAAAGTAAATGGAATCAGAATTACATCAATGGAAAAGCATTGCTGTGACCTCTGTACCTAGGACTAAACTTTGAGCAATAACACATATAGATAGAGGATTGTTTGCCATTAGTATGCAAACTCTGGCTCAAAGCTCCTCTTTATTGCTTGTCTTGGAAAATTTGGTGTTCTTCGCAGTTCTCTTATCACGATCATCTATTTTTCTCAACCACTCACATGGCTACAATAACTGTCTACAACCTTATGATTCCCAAATACCTATCTCTAGCCTCAATCTTGTTCCAGAAGATAAAAAGTAGTATTCAAATGCATGTCAACCTCTTCACTTGGAGGGCTTAAAGACGTTTCAACATGCAAACCAGGGAGTTTTGCCTTGGATGTTCCTATAATGTGTCCTGTAGCCATAGGGTCCTCTTGTTCCTTAAGATTTAATTACATTTAGCCCATGGGATGAGCACAGGTACTCATCCCACCTATGGGGAGATGAGAGTGAAAAGAGGGCCTGATTAATAATTACACTATGTCAATAGGCATAGAGCCAGGACTGTTTGGGTAAACTGGTCACTTTATCTTAAACTCAATATATCCAAAACTGAAAATGTACTTAGTTACTAAGTCTGACTTTATCTCATTCATACCACTCAACTTTACCCAGAGCTGTCATCCAGGCCATTTATTTGACAGTATTACTGTGAAAACTTCCTAACTTCTCTCCTTATCATAGTCATATCCCCTTTTGAAACAAAAGAGACAACTTCAAAATACAAATAGGATTTTTATTGGCTCCCTTTTGTTGTCTATTATAGCCCTAGGAGTCTTTGAGATGTGGCCCTTGCCAACTTTGCCAGAATCTCCCTATATTTAATACGTTCCACTATTAAACTCTGTGCCTCTTTGAAAATGCATTTTCTCTCATTCCTTAAGTGTGCCTTGTTCCCCCTTACCAGTTGGCCTTTCCACTGCCTTTTACATTTTCTTGGAACACTATACCTTCCCTCTTTATTTGGCCCACCTCTAATTTTCTTTCAGATCCACACTAAGATGTTACTTTCTCTAGGAAGCCTTAGCCAATCCCTCCAAGGATGTTAGGAGGTCCTCTTTTCATTTTACTTAACACAGTATCCATTACACCATATTGTGATTACTGATATAATTGCCTGTTTCTCTGATTAGGCAGTAAGATTAACAAGAGCTGGAAGGTGGCTATTTCTTATTACTGATTATCCCCATCCAAGAACAGTGCCTGGAATGCAGATGTAACATTTGTTGAATGAATAAATAAAATGCCATCTATGGAGTGCCACTTTGTACCAGACCTTGTTCTGAGGCATTTATATTTATTAATTTATTTAATCCTCAGTTAACCATGAAGGAGGTACTATCACTATCATCATTTTATAGATGATTAAGATAAAGCCCAGAAAAATTAATTAACTCACCCAAAGTCATGTAGCTAAGTGACAGGGCAAAAATTAAGTAGCAGGGCAAAAATTCAAATCTGTTCCCCAACTTTACATGCTTAATACTGTACTACACTCCCTCTCTGATCATATGGCATGAAATAGCAGACATCTGCTTAGTAAGGCGGAATATGAAAAGAGATTGGAGGATGACACAACACCAGCATTAATATCACAGGAAAGGTCCAAATAGGACCTGGACTGATAGAAAGGTTATTACTCTAGTGTAGTCTCATGGGCATCTTGATGAAGTGGTGGCCGACACAACACACACTGTCCTGATGCGTACATATTATTTGTAGTTATGTGTCTATATATATGTATATTTGTAACATTGAATGTCATGATTTAGTAAAGGCCTACTGTTTGCCAGGCATTTTTACATTTGTCCCCTCCAATCTTTTGATGGAATGATCAGATTGGATTACTTGCCCTTGCAGATTACACACACACACACACACACACACACCAGAAAACCTGAAATACGTTTTGTGAAGTTATAAAGATTTCAGACATGGTAGAATCTGGGATTTGCCAAATGTAACCCCTTTCTCTACCTTAAACCCTTGTTTTGAACAAATACATTTATTATTCATTCAGCAAATGTTTCTGAGTCCTGACTATGAACCAGGCACTGTGAAAGGCTTTGGGATATTTTGCTAATGCTTGGGCAAGCTTATGTAGTTTGCTTCATAAAACTCTATTTCAGTTCTTCTTAAATAATGCTTCATGACTACTGCTTTTCAGTAACAAATACTTTGGCTTCCACATATTTAAGTAAAGTCCCCTTGAGGAAGTGTAGGAGAACTGAACTTTATAAATACCATCCTGGAATCCAAATGGATAGACAAGGCTGGTGCTAACTCTGCTGGAGAGTGCTTGAGCAAAGTCTGTTTCGTTAATGTGTTCCTTAGGAGACAGAACCCAGGATAGCCACATGTAGCAGAAAATGAACAAAAACTAACAAATGAATGGGAATTTTACTTGATTAGCATTGAAGACCTTGTTTATACTATGACAAATGGTTGTATTTGCTGGAAGTGCTACAGATGGCAAACCGATTTTGTTTAAATGTGTGTCCCAGTAGCTTGCAGTATATATTTTTAAGTACTGTACTTAGCTGATTTAAAAATTATATGTTTAAAATTGCATATTGTCCTTTCATTGAAGAAGTTTTGAGAGAGAGAGAGAGAATTAAATTCACTTATCTTACCATCTAGAGAAACCCAATATTAAAACTTTGTGGTCCATTATTTCTGTCTTTTATTCTACACTTTTCTTAGAGGCTAAGAGGAGTATAGAAGATGTACAAAGATAATGAGACCACTCTCCATACATTGTTTCATCCTGTTTTTCAGTTAGCAATATATTATGAGCATATTTCTATTTTATTAAATATTCTTCCATGACATTATTTTGATGGCTGTATATCATCCTATTTTATGAATGTACCATATGAATTTATTTTCTGATGTGGGTCATTTGGTTTTATAATCTTACCTTTAGAATAATAAAACACCTGTGAAGCTTTAGAAAATACGGGTGCCTAGGTCCCAACTCCACAGATTATGATTTAACTGGTCTGCGTTACAGACTAGGCATTTGGAATTTAAAAAGATGCCCCAGTGATTCTAATTCGTAGTCAAGATTGGGAACCCTCATAGACAGGGAGCATAGGAGGTGAACCACTCTTAGAACCAGGTGGAGTTTATAAGCATCCATCAGTTAGTATTAACAACATCATCTTGAGTTGCCAAATGAATGGTGCAGCTGACCCACTTCACAATGACACATGTGCAAATAAAATTCTTATGGGACCGGGTTCATTAGGTTTGAGCTCTACGTTTTCTATGTTAAGCAATACATTGCATACTAAATACTTAAAAATGTACCTTACAACATATATATTAAGTGAAAAGTGTTTTTGAGCTAAACAATAACAACATAATTATCAAGCAATGATAATTTGAGATGAATTAATTATTCTGCAACTTAGGGAAAAGTCATCTCTTTGAATATTCTGTAGTTTGAGAATATTAGTTATATTTACAAAATGAAAAGTCTCAATTGGTCAGACAATGCGTTGTGTGCCTGGCGTATAACAGACATTTAATAGTTTTAAAGAATTAATGTATTTAAATGAATTGCATACCAAATCCTGTGTCTTCATGGCTTTATTATCTTCTTAATTTGAGAGGAATTAATTATTTTGCAACTTAGAGACAAGTTATCCCTTTGAATATTCTGTAGTTTGTGGAGAATATTTGTTATATTTGCAAAATGAAATACATTTGCATTTTTTTTTCTTTTTTTTCACCCCAAAGAGGTCTGTGTCCTTGAACATAAAATACAAATAACTGCTACGCTGTTAATTATTGGCAAATGCCCCATTCTCAACCTAAGGACATATCATACAGTAACTGATATACCAACAAAAGGTTACTAGTTAACAGGCATTGCCTGAAAAGAGTATAAAAGAATTTCAGCATGATTTTCCATATTCTGCTCCCACCACTGCCAATAACAAAATAGCCACCATGAAGTTGGTGAGATCCATTTTTTTAATTTTTCTACTACATTTTACTGAATCCAGAACACCACGTAGAAATGAATATGGAATAGGTGAGATATTTTGTGTTTTTTCTTTTTAGTCTTTTCTCTATATTAAAATTTTAAAATTTGCATTTATTCATTTGTCTTGATTTATTTATCATATTTATTATTCCATATGGAGAAAAAATATTTAACTGGTGGATATATTTAAATGAAAGATAAACTTGTAACTTTATAAGAGTTTACAAAATTATAGTAGTGCTTAACATGACAAATGAATGGTTTGTATGTTTCATGTTGAATTAATTTTTACACATTTAATTGATATACATATTAACTTTGAAAAATTAGTTATATGCACATATATGTACATATATGTGAATAAATAAAATTTTATATGTGAAGAAGCCAGAATTATGCTTCTTCACATAGAAAACTCCCTCAGACTAGTAAAATAAGTAACATCTTTATTTTTAATACAGAAAAATGGGTCTTTATGTGACAGTCTGAAGAAGAAACACTGTGACTGGAATATGAATGGTAAACTGTAGTATAACTATGTTCAAAAGAATGCCTGAAATACATTTTTAACCATTTGATTTTCAGGACAATTACAGCACTATGGAACAGGGGAAAACCAAACAACTGGAAGACAAAATCTGGATTTTAGTGTTAGATCTACTATAAACTATGCTTGTTAACTTCATTTCTTAGTTTCCTAGTTTTCTCGGGTATAAAATTCAGAAGCTTAGGTTATCCCTAATGTTATTTTAGTTCTAAAACTGTACAGTTCTAACTGAAATACAAACATTCATATGTAACAATGATTACTTTCTTGGTTGCAGTTGAAAACACATTTCATGAAGTTTATTTTGCTTTCCAGCTTCCATATTGGATTCTTACCAATGTACTGCAGAGAAAAATTTAACTGATCTGTAAGTTTTACTTATATAAATGTACTTTAAATGTGCAAAGCAATAATAAGTAAATATCTAAGTAAAATTGGGTAGCCCTATGAGTTCTTAAAAGCACAAAAGCAATTTGGACAATTTCAAGAAAAGTTACCCATACTGAATATCAACTTGATGTTGAAGAGGTTAAACTGTTGACTAATGCCTTAGATATTAACCCCTAGATTCCTTGAAATCACAAGTGGCAAACCAAATCAGATTTTAGAAACTGAAGATTAGTGTCTGATCAGTGACAGTCATATACTAATTCAGGAATTTTTCTCATCAATACCAATAGGGTTATATTACAATATTTTCTTTTTCTATGTCCTATTTAAATCTCAGCAGCAAATCATAGGTGATAAAATATTCTAGTTTTTGTTATTTGTGGAGAGTATATTGGTTTCTTGGATGTCTTTTCATTCCAGATTTATTAAATTTCTAATAAATAAAGTAGTATGTTTCTGTTACACTTTGCACATTCAAACCTGCACAAGGACTGCTTTGAGTCAATCCATGAGCACTGCAGTCTTGGATTTTAGACCTTGATTATACTCTGAGTAGACACCATCAGAGGTCTGTCTAATGACCTATTTTTTGCTTATATTTAAAAGTAACTGTAAATAATATAGATACCCTCAGTTATGGTAATTGTAATAATAATATAGATACAGTTTATTATTTACAGTTATCATAACTGTAACTGAGGGTACAGTTACAATTATGGTAACTATAAATAATACAGATACCCTCATTTATGGTAATTGTAATAATAATATAGATACAATTTACTATTGACGATTATCATAACTGTAACTGAGGGTACAGTTACAGTTATGGTAACTATAAGTAATAAAGATACCCTCAGTATGGGTGCATTGCAGCAGATGGGTGGTTACAAAAGGATGAACCACTGTTATGGGAAATCCACTTATTTTGGCCTTTAACATCTATATGTATATTTAAGAGAAAAGAAAACAAGAAAAAAGAGTGAAGTTTCTTCTCAGACGACTAGAAGCTAATTTTACATAATTGTTAAAATCAAATATCTAACCAGGTTACAACATAAATAGAAAATGAAACAAAAAACTATATTTGAGAAAAATAAGCTTGCTACAGGTCTGTTCCTTAAGCATTAATGTGTATTTTTGTTTCAGGGCTACCATATTTTTTGCCCAGTTTGTTCAAGAAGCCACTTACATGGAAGTAAGCAAAATGGTGAAAGATGTATTGACTGCAATGGAGAAACCCACTGGAGAGAAACAGTCTGCAGGGTGTTTTGAAAACCAGGTGAGTGCATAATTTTAAAAAAGCATTGTGATATTCGATAAATATTTAGCATTCAGAAGAGAAGATACAGAAATAGCATGAGAAATATATTTAAATATTTGAAGAGCTATTGTATGAAAGAGGGATTAGATTAATTCTGAATTGCCAAAAAGGGCAGAAGAGAATAATAGATAGCTATTATAAAGAGAACATTATAAACATGGTGACTAAGAGCTATGGTTCTGAAATAAGATTATCCTGATGATGGGCATATTAACTTTTTTGAGCTGCAGTTTTCTTATCTATAAAATAAGGGATAATAATAGCTTCCATTTTGGAGTTGGCATGAAAATTGGTATAATAATAATAGTAGTAGCTAATTTTTATTACATATACAATGTGACTGGCATTATTTTAGGGAGCATAATGTGTACACCGATAATAAAAATGTTTTACAACATAAGGATAGCACTGACAAATCAGAATCATTGTCCAGTGAGTCAAGATGTGTTGGCTGAAGCTTATGAGCAGAATATCAGCTTTGCTTACATATATTTATTTATTAAACATGTAAAATAATTCTTGAAGATAGATGTTAATCTTCCAGTTGGGGAAGCTGAGGCACAGAGAATTTAAGTAACTTTTTTAAGGGAACCAGCAGATGGCAGAGCTAGGATATGAACTACACCATCTGACTCCAGAATTAACAGTCTTAGTAGCTTCATTACATTATAACTATAGTGAATGTAAGATGCATAGCACATTGTTAGGGTTGCCAGGTTTAGCAAACAACAACAAAATATAATATCCAGTTCAATTTAAATTTTAGATAAACACTGAATACTGCAATCCCATTACTGAGTATATACCCAAAGGGTTATAAATCATTCTACTATAAAGACACATGCACACGTATGCTCATAGTGGCACTGTTTACGATAGCAAAGACCTGGAACCAACCCAAATGCCCATCAATGATAGACTGGACAAGGAAAATGTGGCACATATACACCATGGAATACTATGCAGCCATAAAAAATGATGAGTTCGTGTCCTTTGTAGGGACATGGATGAATCTGGAAACCAACATTCTCAGCAAACTGGCACAAGAACAGAAATCAAACACCGCATGTTCTCACCCATGGGCGGGTGTTGAACAATGAAAACACAGGGACACAGGGAGGGGAGCATCACACACTGGGGTCTGTTGTGGGGGGGGTAGCCAAGGGAGGGACAGCGGGGGTGGGGAGATCGCGGAGGGATAGCATGGGAGAAATGCCAGATGTAGGTGATGGGGGGATGGAGGCAGCAAACCACATTGCCATGTGTGTACCTATGCAATAATCCTGTATGATCTGCACATGTATCCTAGAACCTAAAGTACAATTTAAAAAAGGATATTCCAATGTAGGTGCTCAACAAATAATATTTATTATTATTTTTTTATCTCAACATAGAAACAAGCTTTATAATGATTAGAACTCTTCAATTACAAAAGAACATGCCCAGAGAATCCTCTGTTATGGTGGGGTTGATTAGGAGGCTGAAAGGCAATGTACCTAGAATACTATAGGAGAGATGCCCTTTTAAAGATATAAAGTACTTTCCAATTCTAAAATTAATGATTTGATAAAAATTTCTGTTTTGCATCTCTATTTTTGTCTTGTCCCAATAATCTTTTCAAAATGTGTATAAAAAATACATAGTACATTACCTATTGCAACTTTACATCCAATTAGAGGCTCAAAGTAATGTTACAGATTGCTGAGTTATTCTTGTAAATTTAAAGGCATGCCTTTTAAGTGAGGATTGGGAATTAGAAATCTTATGCAAGCTTTCCAGAATTCTCTAAATATTACTGTAGCAGCTATAAAAGCTGCATAAAAGTTCCGTAACATGCACGAAACACTTGTATTCCTCAGAGGCTTTCTGTGGCATATTGGTGCTGTCATCTGAGTTTGGTAAGTCACCAGAGAAGGAAGCACATACATTTTAAAACATTTTACCTAAATTTGTAGTTATGACCAATGAAAAGTGTTTTTTTAAACCCTTTTTTCCATTCAAAATCCAACCATTATTTCATTTCAAAATCATTTGTATTTCTAATTGAAAATAATATGCAGTTTTATATTGTCTTATCATAGGATGGCATGTAAAAAGAGGATTTATGTCTGAAACACGGTGTGTGTATATATTATATATATATATATATACACACACACACACACACACACACATATATACACACACACACATATATGTACCATGATATATACATATATACATATATATATATTTGGAATTGCAAATATGTACATGTGTACCATGATATATACATATATATTTGTAATTCCAAAAGTTACATCTTTAATGAGAATCATGAAAATATTATGTTGCTCAGTTTCTTGTTTTCTAAATTTTAATTTTAATTTTAAGTTCTGGAGTACATGTGCAGGATGTACAGGTTTGTTGCAAAGATCAACATGTGCCATGGTGGTTTTCTGCACCTATCAACCCATCACCTAGGTATTAAGCCTACCATGCATGAGCTATATTTCCTCATGCTCTCCCTCCCTGCATCCCAACCCCTGACAGGTCCCAGTGTATGTTGTTTTCCTCTCTGTGTCGATGAAACATGGTGTATATATTTATAGAAGCTTATATATCCTAGTCCAAATTTTTGATAACATAAAAAGGAAAAAGTAAAATAATTCAAAATTGAGAAAGAGGAACAAAATGATGCATGACTTTTTTTCTTTTATAGTTTGGAGATTAAAGTTTTATTTCCCAAAAGATAGCAGAGAAATCTATTTCATCAGGTTAAAACAAAATACATCAGAATGTGTACAGAAAATTTTTCAAAATCCATAGTTCTGATTTTGGACATTA